TATGTTATGGCAATGAGCTTTATGTCCCCTTTTTGAGCCCACAGGTCCAACTACTCACTCCCTCCAGGTAAGTGGCTGTGGACAAGAAGTCACCACAACCTTGTCCCTTGTCACCTGTACTATATATATACCTGGCCATTCTTACAGCACATGCAAATATGCTTGTAAAAATATCGTCTGCCAACCCTATACATGGTCTTGGGCACATTCTTCCCTACCTAGACAGACTTGATCATTCAGCCTGTCCACCCATTTATCCATGCATAGATCAATGCTTGCCATCACTGATAAGGCAGTACTGTATGTGCAAAAGGGTTCATCTTTGTTGTCTGTACCTCTCTGTACCTCTCTGTCTTCCTTGTCCTCAATGCCACCACATTGATCACTCACATTTGGTACATTGCCCTTACCTTCACCCAAATAAATACTTTTTTCTCTGTATCTATCAGTGTTCCTTCCCTTCCCCTCCCATCCTAGGTAACCAAAAAAAGAAAGTTTCCTTCCATATACATAACCCTTTCCTTGACTTTTTACAATAGTGGGCTAATACAATATTTTGCATTCTGTGATTGACTTATTTCACTCAACATAAGTGTCCTCCAAGTTCATCCACATTATGCAGTGTTTTGTAGATTCTACATTATTCTTTAGAGTTGCGTAATATTCCATTGTGTGCATGTACCATAGTTGGGTTGTCCATTCTTCTGTTGATGGGCACCTAGGTTGTTTCCATCTTTTTGCTATTGTAAATAGTGCTGTAGTGAACATGAGTGTGCATGTATCTATTGTTGTCCTGGCTCTCACTTCTTAGGATATATACATAGTAATGGGATTGCTGGGTCCAATGGTATTTCTATTTTTTAAGGAATTGCTTAAAAAGCAATGTGGCACTGCTTGCCACAGTGGTTGTACCATTTTACAGTTCTACCAGCAGTGTATGCAAGTTCCAATCACTCCACATCCTCACCAGCATTTGTTATTTTCTATCTTTTTGAACTTTGCTGTTAGTGCTGGGCAAGATGGTATCTGATTTTTGTTTTGATTTGCATCTCTCTAATGGCTAATGATCGTTAACATTTCTTAAGTGTTTGTTGGCTGCCTGAATATCCTCTTTGGTGAAGGTCTATTCATGTCTTCTGACCATTTTTTAATTGGATTGTTTGTCTTTTCGTTGTTGAGGTGTTGGAGTTTTCTATAAATTTTAGAGATAAGCCCCTTTTCAGATATGTCATTGCCAAATATTTTTTCCATTCTGTAAGAAATTTATCACTGCCATCGAGTTGATCCCAACTCATAGCAACCCCTCCTTGGGTTTCCAAGATAGTATCTCTATGGAAGTAGATTGCCCAGTCTTCCTTCTGAGGAGTGGCTGGTGGGTTTGAACTGCCAGCCTTCTGTTTAGCAGTCAGATGCCTTAGGCATTATACCACCAGAGTTCCCAATCTGTAAGTTCTCTTTTTACTCTTTTGGAGAAGTCTTTTGAAGAACATAAAAATTAAATGTTTACAAGGTCCCACTCATCTATTTTATCTTCTGCTGTTTGTGCATTTTGGTTTATGCTTAATGGTCTATTTATGCCATATATAAAACCAAAGCAAAAAAACCATACTCACTGCCTTGAATCAGATCCAACTCATAGCAACCCCTCCTTGGATTTCTGAGGTAGTATCACTACAGAAATAGATTGCCCAATCTTCCTTCCGAGGAGTGGCTAGTGGGTTTGAACCACCAGCCTTCTGGTTAGCAGTCAAATGCCTTAGGCACTATGCCACCAGAGCTCCTATGCCATATATAAGGGCCCCTAAATTTGTCCTTATTTTTTCCATGAGAACCTTTATAATTTGAGTTTCACATTTAAGTCTTTGATCCATCTGGAGTTAGTTTTTGTGTATGGATATATCCATTTTCTGCAAATGGATATCCAGTTTTGCCAGCACCATTTGTTAAACAGACCATCTCTTCCCCATTTAATGGATTTCAGCCCTTTGTCAAAGATCAGCTGACCATAAATCAATGGATCTATTTCTGGGTTCTTAATTCTATTCCTCTGGTCTATGTGTCTCTCATTGTATCAATACCAGGCAGTTTTTACTACTGTGGCTGTACAGTAGGTTTTGAGATCTGGCAGTGTGAGACCTTCTGTTTTGTTCTTCTTCAATAGTACTTTGCTTATCCAAGGCCTCTTTCCTTTCCATATAAAATTAGTGATTGGTTTTTCCA